CAGTATTCAACATACCCATTCTTCATAATTCAAACAAGCTTTAATTGATGGCTTAATTCATTCACTGTGTATGTATTGTTTTCAGCAGGGGCTGGGTAAAATGAAAAGATGGAAAAATTGAAAGTATTCCCTGAAGGTAATTATGCAAAAATATTCTTAGGTGAGGGTTTAGTATAGTTTCCATGTGAGTCTTAGACATAAAACTATGTCATTTATCAATCATTACTGCTTTTAAAATAATGATTAACTACGTACCTAGTCATGGTGGCCAGTTTTCTGATTTTTTTAAAACCATAATCAGCATCAGTACTCTCTTCTCCCTGTTCAAAAATTTCAGAGCATATAAAAGGTATTCTGGAAACTTAAATAGCAATAAACAGTTGCTGTCACGTCCCTGGGAAGAAAAGAGGCAAAGCAGAAGCAGCTGGCTTAGAATGGTTGCCAGGGCCAAGTTGTGTGGCCGGTTCAGTGCGGAACTCTGGTAAAGGGACAGAAACTGGAAATTTTGGAGGCTTGGATTTGGAGTGATCTGATCACTTACCAGCTGTCTGATAACAGCAAGTTCCTTAAATTCTCTATGTCTCGTTTTCCTCATTCAGAAACCGAGGCTAATGGCAACTCTGAGCTTTATAACCAGTGAATGAGGGATCTGTGTGGGACATGCAGCATACGGCTTAGTGCAGAGCACTCAGTGAGGATAGCAGTTATTATTCATGAATTACAGGTATGGAAGCAAATAGCACAGTGTGGCTTGTTTTCTCTGCAAGACCAAAACGACACGGTGACACAACTGTGTTTTTTTTTTTTTTTTTTCTGGTTTGAAAATAAAGACAAAATTCCTTATTTTCAATGTAGAATAAAACATTTTTTTTATTATTATTGTTACCCTTAGGCTGTTGGTTAGCTTCACCATGAAACTCCTGAGGGTTTTTTTTTTTTTTGAGAGGGAGCATTCATCTTGAACAGCATGACGGTGCTGCCAACTCAAAGTGGTAAGTCTTAGGTTTGGTGCATTCAACTGGGATAGTTTTTCCATCCAAAGACTTCTTACTGACAAATCCTTCCCTGCTTATGGTGAAAACTCACTGCCTAGAGGGGCTAACCATCCATGCGGTTTACTCCTTTGTTACTAATGCTAGCTCTGAGTTCAAAATTCTTTAAGACCCAGGTCTTCAACCATGCCTCATATGATTTATAACTTACCTGAGTGCTAGCTAATTTTACTGGGTTAGCTTTGAGTCAGTAGTAATATACTTGTTGCAAGAATCTCTTTAAAGTAGTAAAATGTCTGTTATTATAAAGAGGTGTTAAAATATCTAAGTTATATAGCATATATAACTAGGTTATATATAAAATACATATATATTGTTTTGATTCTGTCTGCATCACTCCTACCATAAAAATATGGCTTGTATAGTATACATAGACACACAGCAGAATTGCTAATTCTGAGGGATTCATCTACCTTATTATTTAGTAAAGCTTAAAAATTCTTAAGAAAAAAAGAGCACAAACATCAGCTCAAAGGACTAATATGGAGACCAATGGGAAAGGATCCCGGAACCCCTAGAAGACTCGAGGATAGTAAGAACCAAGGCATTGGGTAGATCCTGTATTTTCATTGATACCAGTCACCTTGAAGAACTAGGTCCTGGAGACCACTTAAGAAGGGCCTGGCTGTCAGCTGCTACACACAACACAATGTTCAGTCCCTGCTGCCCATTTTGCAGATGGGAATTTAAAGCCATCACAACAGAAACACCAGACAGTGGCATAGACTGAGGATGCAAGACTTGAAAGAAGGAGCTTTTCACTTCAGTCCCTGCATTTTGTGGTTAGGGCTGCTTAGATATTTTTCAACTAGATTTTTCATGGGAAGCACATAGTGTGTTGGGCAGCAGGTTCTGAGTTCTGTGGCATGTTCCTTGTGGTGGTGTGGAGAAGGGACTTCTTTTTAGTGTCTGGTTAGGGTACGAATATGATCCAAAGTCCCAGTCTGCACCTGGAATTTACACCCAGCAGCAGCAGCACACCCTCTTGGTAAAGGAAAGGTCCTCTAGAGTGTGCATTTCATACCTCACGCTCACTACCTGGTCGTGTCAGGCGATCAGACAGGAGCTTTTGACCCCGGCAACTTTTACTGCCATCTGGTATTCTGACTTCTCCACTAATCTGAAGGAAGTTTCCTTTGAAGGTCAGGAACAAGATCCCTAGAGTTAGCGCAGAAACAGTGCCCAGGAGCTCTGGGCGATTTTAAGGTTCTTTTTCCCTTCTTGCGTGTTTTCACAAATAGGCCCTTCTGTGCAAGCACCTGCTTTTTATATGCTTTAAGCCATGAAAAGAATGGGTAAAATGCAGAAGCTAAGTTAATGAAATGTGGCTTGTCACTGAGCCCTGCCGAAATCCCTTTTATGCGTCAGGCTAAGCGTTCAGGAAATTCAGGAAAACCAAAAAGCAAAATCAAACTCAGCCTGCAAGTGGCAGAGTCTGCTCAGGGTCTAGGTCTCAGAAAATCAGGTTGAGTGGGGATGGAGAATGCCACAGGTGTTTGCATCACTAATGACAACCCCAGAGAGAAGTACTTTCTCCAACGACCCCTGTTTCTGACACAGAAGCAGAAAGGCCGCCTGCAGCTGTTAATATTCTTCCCTACCTTTTCCTGCCTCTCCTCCTTCCGATAGTTCTCTCAAATCTTTCTTAGCTCCCCAAAGATACTACAATAGACGCAAAATAGTTTCCTGGCATCTCTGCCCTCCTACCCGGCAGCTCGCCCCATCCTGGTCAACGCCCCCACCTAGCGGTTTAAACTTGCCTGCTTCCCTTTCCTCTCCTAAAGCTCCTAACCAAGCATGGCAGTTCCTAAAATAATGAAGTCAGGGTAGGCGCCTCCTGTGGGTGGATGGAGTTGGAGGATGGGGAAGTCTCCTTAAAATGTGTTGAAAAAAATTGCTTAAGATACTGGAGAAGTTGCAGTCGTTAGGAAAAGGAGCAGAGGGGTAAAGAATATCTTGTTTTCATTCTCAGAGGGTCTAAAGCATCTCAGCTCTCACCCTTTACAAGGGTGTCTTCTCGTTGTGTGGATGAGTTTTATTTTCAAGACATTTTCTGCTGTATGAAAGTATAGTGATTTTCTCCGTCGTTATTTATTGTCTTTTCCTATAGGCGTAAGTGGGTCCCAATGTGCTCCAGCAGCCTCCAACTCGTAGTGCGCAGTAAAATAACCAGCGTTTTTGAAGCATTCTAATTTTTGCTTGGCTGGCTGGCTTAGAAAGCCGGGAATGCAGGGAACTTGATTTGGGGCCATGACACCTTGGGTAAAAGTCTCTTGCAAAGATCTGAAATTACTCCATTTCTACAGCTGGATAGATGGTGTGTCAGAGAATCTCTGGCTGAGTTCTGAGACTCAGTGATTGATTCTCTTTAAAACACACTTGCAGGGCCCTGATGAATTCAATTACAGTGTAGCTTTTTATTAGATCTATTCCGAAAACTAAACAGAGACCTAGGCGCTTGGAATTTATTAGTCCTCACGACTGAGAATTCTTTGTGCTTTATTGTAAGCTTTCTGCCCAGCTTGGAGGAGAAACTGAGGGCAGGGGATGTGCTGTGCCATTACCTGCTGTCCCTTAGGGCTGAATCCCAGTGCATTTGTTTCGGGCAAAGGAGATATAGCGATGCTGGTGGTAACGATGGCTCCAAGCTCTCTTTTTTGAAAAGGCTGTGTGAAGGAAGTTGCTCGCAGTAAACTCAGAGTCCTGGAACTGCGGAGCGGCTGGAGCCGGAGGGTGGAGCTGAAGGTTTTAATCCTCCTACCGCAGGCTTCTGCTCGGGGGTACTTTTACATTTCCCAGTCAGCTTCTCCCTGCCTTTCCCTTCCATTGACGCGGGAAGTTAAAGGGCAGAAATTGAATGACAAGCATAGTTTTCTAGATCTAGATATGACAATTGTTTTTTTAAGGTACCAAGAGTTTCAGGATGACTCAAAGCCCCAAGCCTGAATTATATACTGCACACATAGGATGCTTCCTTCTAAGGCAAGGTCGTAGACGCCTCCTTCCATTCTGGGTGTGGCCCTTTGGGTTGGAGTAGAGGAGAGGTCAGAGACTGGGACTTGTTCCACGCTACCAGCCTCCAGAAAAGAGGGAGTAGGCAGAAGCCTAGGACTAGTTCTGTGACTGCAACTGAGGGCGTGGGGCGTTCTGTGATGGCGCAAAGCAGGTCTCAGAGCGGATAGACGCAGGAACTGGATGCCCTTATCCACGCTCCATGTCTGAACTGCGGCTCTAGGGGTCAGGGTCCGGAGGGGGGAAAGGTACCAAACAGCTGTAGTCGAGGGCGGTAGGACCCGGCGGAAGCCTCCTTGGCCCGGGAAGGCAAGGGGCGGGAGGAGGAGAGGGAGGGAGAGGGAAAAGGGAAGGCTATGTGCAGCCGGCGTCCGCACACGTCGCCCCGCACGAGTTGCACGGCTTGGCCGGGCCAGCCCGGGACTCTATGAAAGGAGCCCCCGTAGGCGCCGGTGCTCACACCCAGCTCCCGGGCTGGCGCACGCCGGGGCCCCACCGCTCGCTCGGACGCCCGCCCCTCGCCGGTGTGCGGCTCCAGGTGCCCCAGCCCCGTGCGCCCCGCGCGATGGCTCCCAGCGGTGCGGCTGGAACCCAGCAAGTGGCGGCAGCAGCGGGGACGCGCGAGCAGGCGCAGCTCCGGCCCCCGAGTGCCCCCTCCTGCGGCCGGGTGTCCGCGGGGCGTCTCGCCCGAGTGGCCACCGAGTGAAAAGCGAGGGCGGGCCGAGCTCCAGCGCCAGGCGCGGGGCGGCGCGCAGACTTCACCCCACCCGGGACTGCCGGCCCCCGCCGCCGCTGTCGCCGCAGAAAGTGCCCCAGCTTGGGGCGGTGGGCTCGGGGCGGGGATGCAAGTCCAGGACTCCGCGCTGGCCTGCAAGCTTCGGTCTGCGTAGCTAGGAAACTCCTGCGGGCGGAGTCTGCAGATTCCCGAGCGCCCGGGTTAGCAGCTCAGCCCCGAGTCTCCGGGGTAAGACCTCCCACTTGACTCGAACCCCCGACTCCAGTAATGCTTCTTCCTTCTCCACTCTCGGTCACCCGGGAGTCCGAGCGGAACTGGACTGGGCGGTCCAGCCCCTTCACCACCCAGGGCTAGGACCCGGCGTGGAGAGAAGCTGAAGGATGCGGCGGCAGCGCCTGGCGCACTGCAAGTGCAGGAGACGCGCCAGCCACCTCGGCCGCCGCGCCTGTGACCTCTAGTTTCAGCTGAGAACCTAGGCGGCGGAGTTATTGAGAAGCCCACGGAACTGACTAGCGAAAGGAGACAAGCCTGTGGTCTCCATGATCCTTCCGTCCTCCGTTCTCGCCCTGGTCCGCTCCATGCTAGAAAGCTGCGCTCAGGAGCTCGGGCGAGGAGAGCCATGGAGGAACCCGGCGCTCGATGCGCCCCGCCGCCGCCCGCGGGCTCCCAGACCCAGACACCTCCAGCCAACCTCTCCCACAACTGCAGCGCGGACAGCTACATCTACCAGGACTCCATCGCCCTGCCCTGGAAAGTCCTGCTAGTTGCGCTGCTGGCGCTCATCACCTTGGCCACCACGCTCTCGAACGCCTTTGTGATCGCCACGGTGTATCGGACCCGGAAGCTGCACACCCCGGCTAACTACCTGATAGCCTCTCTGGCCGTCACTGACCTGCTCGTGTCCATCCTGGTGATGCCCATCAGCACCATGTACACGGTTACTGGACGCTGGACACTGGGCCAGGTGGTCTGCGACTTCTGGCTGTCGTCGGACATCACCTGTTGCACCGCTTCCATCATGCATCTCTGTGTCATCGCTTTGGACCGCTACTGGGCCATCACGGACGCCGTGGAGTATTCGGCTAAAAGGACTCCCAGAAGGGCGGCTGTCATGATCGCGCTGGTGTGGGTCTTCTCCATCTCTATCTCGCTACCGCCCTTCTTCTGGCGGCAGGCCAAAGCCGAGGAGGAGGTGCTGGACTGTCTAGTGAACACCGACCACGTCCTCTACACGGTCTACTCCACGGTGGGCGCTTTCTACTTACCCACCCTGCTCCTCATCGCCCTCTATGGCCGCATCTACGTGGAAGCCCGCTCTCGGATTTTGAAACAGACGCCTAACAAGACCGGCAAGCGCTTGACCCGAGCCCAGCTGATATCAGACTCCCCTGGGTCCACGTCCTCGGTCACCTCCATTAACTCCCGGGCTCCGGACCTGCCCAGTGAGTCCGGGTCTCCTGTGTACGTAAACCAAGTCAAAGTGCGAGTCTCAGACGCCCTGCTGGAAAAGAAGAAACTCATGGCCGCTAGGGAGCGCAAAGCCACCAAGACCCTGGGGATCATTTTAGGAGCATTTATTGTATGCTGGCTGCCCTTCTTCATCATCTCCCTGGTGATGCCTATCTGCAAGGATGCCTGCTGGTTCCACATGGCCATCTTTGACTTCTTCAATTGGCTAGGCTACCTAAACTCCCTCATCAACCCCATCATCTACACCATGTCCAATGAGGACTTCAAACAAGCATTCCATAAACTGATTCGCTTTAAGTGCACAGGTTGACTTGCCAATTGCAGTGGGGTCGCCTAAGCGACTTTTGGGGACCAAGTTGGGTCTTCCCACAGGTAGGTCAAATCTTCTTTCCCTGTTACTGGGTGGAAGCAAGGCTCTCTCTCCTGGGCGAGGGCAAATGGATCCTGAAAAGCCAGGAAGCTCTGGGAGAGAGCTCTGGAAGGAGAACTGTTCAAACTAATGTAAAGCTCTACTGAGGAGAAGGTTGGCCTCCTCCTCCCAAACCCCAGGCTCAGCACAGATCCTCCAGCAGCCAATCACACAGAGGGTTGCAACTTTTTAACACTGATGATCGATGAGGGATCCCTGCCCCGTTTGGTATCATGGATGTTGCTGTTTAAGCCATTGACACTTGTAGTTGTTGTCTGAAGCCTGTCTGAGACAGAATCTGCATACAGCCTGACAGTACTTGAACTAGACGCTTACTACCCTGTGCTTTGGGGAGAACTTTGTGTTAGAGCTTAATTTTAGAACAGTTACTTTGGCACCCTTCAGTCTTCATTTGTTTATTTCAATTTGGTTGGAGAAACTTGTGGATTTGGTGCTTCAAACACTAAAGGTGGCTTGGATGGCACAGAGAAACCTTGAAGAGTTAACAGCAAAATTCTGATGCTAAGATATCTATTTTTATTACAATTGAAAACTATATGGGGATGGGTGGGCGGGAATGGGAGATGGGGAGCGTTACACTGAGAACACCTAAGAACGTTTGTTTTTTGCAGATTTCTAATTTTTTAATTCCTGTTTAGCAATTGTCAAACTAAAACTCTAACAACTCCAACAAAACATGATGTGTGCTAGTGCCAAAGTCTGCAGGCTGCTTTTTTCCTTCTGAATCTCATGTGTGGGTCATTTTATACACTTAAATCTCCACCAATGGAGGGTATATTGAGTGACTCGACCCAAACTGCTGCTGTCAATGGAGTTGGTCAGACAGATCAGGGTATACTGTTCCTAACAAGAAAGTGTCTGCGTTCCTTATCCAATTTTGTGATATGTCAAGGAGACTGATAAAACAGAAGCAATTTTAGTATACAAGTAAGGAGTAAGGGGGTAATAGGAGGATGTATATTTTGACTTGTAAAAAAAATCTTAAAATGCATGAGACAATTTTTGATAGTCATTTGCACTCTCCTTCCCATATGTGACTCCTTTGTGTGTGATCATATAAAGTAACCAAGGGAACTAGTTTCCTTGTCCAGAAATCGATCTTCAAAATGTAGTCAGAGCCCCCAAAACTATGTTAAAAAGGGAAGAAGAAGAAGAAAAAGAAAACATCTTGATTTTTCCTTAACTAGTGAAGTGTGGCTAGGAACAGATAGAAAATGACATGTAAGAAATTAGAAAAGCTAAGAGAGCCTCAAATAGAGTCTTCTTTGTAACTCACAGAACCTAACTCCATTTTTACTAAGCAACCAGGAAACTGGCAAGCCTTCCAGCCTTGGTTATGTGTTATTGACCTGACACTTCAAAAGATATAACATACGAAAAAACTTAGGTGTATCTCTCTTTCTGAGTTTCAATAATACACAGTTATTTTGAGTTCCCTCTGGTTGGATATGCATACAGAGTAAAACCATACACTAAAAGATGAAAAATAAAATGCACCATTTTAATGAAAAGAAGTAGTCCTGCAGGGTCATCTGCACAGAACAAATGTGTACGTAGAATATTTAATATGCCAAAGAAGATACCCAGTCCTTGCTTCAGATGCTGTCTGCACTGGAGAGCTTTTGTCTGCAGGAGCAAGTTGTCTTTATAAAATGGATCCACTTCCTGTGTGAGGCTGCTCAGTTCAGATCATCAGACAATACATGTAGTGAGCTGAATTACACTGCTCACCTACTGTGCAGACCTTCACACTGGGTAATGACTCTCGAAAAGATGCTATTTGAAAGTTCACATGTACTGTAGGAAAAAAAGGGAATTTTGATCAACATTATACCTGTCGCAGGAGTAAGATAAAATTTTAGGCTTTAGATAATCCCATACCTCTGCTGGATCCCTAGTTTCTTTGTTTGCTTTTTGTGGCATTTCTCCTATGGAGGAATGCACATTGAGTTTGGTATTTTTTTTAATGTTATTAATATGTTGGTCTTCTGTTTATGTAGCTGTGTTTTCTTGGGGCCTAAGAGGCAATTAAGCCAACTTCTAAGAGCCTTAGGGGGGAAATTAATTGAAACAAATAGCCACTTACAAATGATTTCTTTATAAGGCACCTACAATGATTGTGTCCTCATGTTAACAAAACACAGTTTAGTCAAACGGGTCATTTGCCATTTTGTAAATTACCCATTTTAATTGTTGCTTGACTATTTGGCCGAGTTGACTGAATTTGGGGCATTGTGTATTAAATAAAAGCTTGCAAACCCTTGTAGTTGTAAGAGATGTAGAATCATCCGGCATTGCACATGATTATGCAAGGTGTCTATCCATCCCAGGGGTACGCAGTTAGGACTACTAAGCTCCTTTTCAGTTACTACTGCCTGTAGCATAGTTTCTTTCATAAGCTAGACACATGGCTTTTTTGCAGAACATAAAATGGGAGATAGAAATGTTTAACTCACATAGAAATGAAACTTACATTTCATTGGCTATGGTAACAAACAGCATTTTCCATATTGTTTAATTGCACAAATTTTCACACAAATATATGAATGTATACTCATCTAAAAATACCAATATTGTCTTGTGTTTTTAGGAATTTTAGAGTTTCCTTTTTAAAAACGGACATTGCACCCATGAATGAATGATTGAATGTTTACGGAGTTCAACAAATTTCCTGTAGAACAATAATCTTCACTTTTCCTCTCTATTATCTTAGTTTTATCTTCTTTAGCCAAGAAACACTGAGGGGGCTATAACTCACTCAAGCAGTAAAATCTCAGATTATGTGTATTTGATGGAGTTCTTGTGTCTGGAAATTGCCTTTGCTCTTCCACTCCTCAACAAATGTATATTTGGAAATGAAATTTAGGAAAATAATAAAAATAAATGTCCTTTTTGTGTTCTAAAAAAACATTCAACAGTAGTCCTATTATTGTGGAAAAATTGCTTCACTGGATTCTGGGATACTGTGTCTTGAAGTTTGAGTCTTTGTGCGAGAATGATTGATTAATAAGTGGCACTGTGATAGATGGCTCTGTGTTGCCATGATTCACAGTTAGTTTATGCCTATTGGAAAAATTTGAGAAGAATCCCATACTCTGAAAAAGGGGTAAGTCGCATCCACTATCAATCATTTTCTGGATAGAAAGGGAGCACTTGACCTCTAGACCAAGGACTGAGATTCCTAGGTACTATATGATGCTTAAAATACAAGATGAGAGACAGTAGAAGCTAGGTGAAAGTTGACTTCAGTGAGACCTGAGTAGCTGTCTTATTGGAAGGCCAGCGAAGTACTTAGAACTACAACTTCCAGAGCTAGAATGTCCTAGGTTTCAGTGACAGATGATAGAGCTATGTGGGTCTCCTCAAAATATCATCTATTTGCAGATTGTGGCAAAGGCTTGAAGTCTCTCTCTCTCTCTCTCTCTCTCTCTCCATATATATCTCTGTCTCTCTCATTTTTGTTTCTTTATTCACATGCTCACTGGGAAAATATTGAAAATCCCTGAAAATTTGCAAATACTCCATTTCCATTTTATATATAATAGAATCCTGTTACCAAAAATATGAGCTTGTTCGAGGCGAGTGAAACATCTGTTATATATATATATATATATATATATAGTACTGAACCAGAGGTTTGACTGTGAGAGGGGCTGTGGATTCAGAAAGGGTGCCTTCTCCGAGGCATTATTTCCCAGTGCTTCTGTGTATCGGTAGCACAGAAAATCAAGACTATTGGAGAGAAGGTAGACTGAGGGAGAGCCAGCTACCCTGAATGGGGAGACTGTGGCTAGACTAGAAGTGACTGGGATTTGCTATTTTTCACAAGTACCTCTCTTGGTTAGTGACTCCCCAGGCCAAACGACAAAAGGGAAAATGGGCGGTTGGCAGTGGCTGTCTGTAACGGTCAAGGAGGAATTGCCAAATGTTTAGTTTTCGATAGTTCCTTCTTACTCACTTTTAAACTCTCTTTCCTATCTTTTAGAAATTTATGGCTGTCTTCCCAGAATCCACATTCTCTGGCCACATCCACACCTTCTTTCAGCACCTCATTTTCCTCTTTTAGTCGTGATAACCAACAATGATGTGTATAGTTTTTATTTTAGCTGTGATAGGCTGATTAGTTAGCCAAGAATTTTTATGTTATATAGAAGGAAATTGTTGCTCCGAATGCATAGTTATGTAGGGGATGAAAATGCTTTCAGCTGGAGCAACTACTGGAGTCTTCCGTGGGAAGGGGCTAAGGGTGTGGGAAAGGAATGAAATTTCTGCAACTTCCATCAAAACCTACCCTGGGGAGTCCACCAGGGGGCAGAATGCCTCTGAGTTGTCTGCTCTGCAGGTGCTCCCAGTGCACATCTCTCAGTTCCTCCAAGATGGTTTGCAAGTGATCTGAAGTCCTCCAGGCTTAGCGGCGATAGAGTCTAGGAAGAGGAGATTCATTGCTGGTTCATTTTCAGAACTGCAAACTTAGGCCGACGATCCCCAAATGCACTGAAGGTGTTTCTTCGTGTGTGGAAACTCAATTATCTTCTTAGTTTAATATTTACAACATTGTGATCCTTTATTAATGTGACACTGAATGAAACTGGAGATTAGGAGACAAAGCATTTATTTCAAAGTGAACTGAACCATTTACTGGAACACCTATCACTACTACAATTTTTCTCATCACCTTTTTCTTTTCCATACTTCATTGGTGAGGTTGGTACATCCATTTAAAGACAGAATACTTGCCATTTAAAGAAAATTCTTCTAATTTCTTACAGGAGTAAGACATACATATATAGCAGTTTTTCTGAGAAGGCTGATCTTTAAATCTGTGCGATTTGTACATTAATTTTTTTAAAAAACCAAGCATATTACAAATGCGAACACAATCTTAGGTATCAGAAAAACAATTTTTAGATACGCGAACAGATTATAATAAGTGAGCAAATGGACTGGTGACGTTGCTGCCATTCCTCAGGAACAGCACTCTCTCCTTCAGAGTCTTCCTTGTTTGTGGTGAGGCCCTTGTCTGTATCACATTTCACACTCCTGTCAGTTAAGTCAAAATTTCAAAGTCATCTTTCACATTTTAGGATTATAGTAGCCATTGGGCCAACTAAGAAGGAGAGTGACAGCACTCTTCCAAACATAGTTTTTAAAGAAAAAAAATGCCCATTTCTTTTAACTTATTTCTCAAAAGATAAACCTTTTTAAAGCTGTTAACTGGAAATCCAAGAACGGTCTTTTAATATTTCCTGTACCCACAATGAGCAGATGGTGATGGAGAGATTCATATATTATAAATGCTTAAAAATACTACACATGCCTTACTTCAAAAATGCAGGCAGGCATGACTCACTTCCTCCTTGACTCTGTGAGAACATTCTTCATATGGGTCTCTGATTGGTCCTCTTGTTTCAGGACAACCAGACTTGAGCGTATCTCCTGCTCACAAGTATGGTGAGCATGTGAACAATATGCTAGGATGGACAGAGCAGTCCTCAGCAGGTAGGGAACCTAATTGCAGAGCTGTGCCCAGGGTAGGTTTGTAAATGTT